TTTCTACCTATTTTGTCTGTGGGTTGTATGGGTGCTCTGTGTTTACTGTGTATTGGGTTTTTTGTCAGACATGGTATGCATTTGTTTATGTGTTTCTTTATGTCCTTGTGTATGCCTGGCCAATAAAAATTCTGTGTGACCCTCTCTAATGTTTTTTTTATACCCATGTGTCCAGCCAAAGGACTGTCATGTGCATGGTTGAGTATTTTGTTTCTGAGTATTAATGGTACTATTATTTGAGATTTTTTGATTTCACCTTTCTCAAAATTTCTGATTAGAATATTATGTTTTATTGTGTAATTATGTCCCCTATAAATTGTGTTATTGTCCTTAATTTTGTTTTTAATGTCCTGAATTTGCCTATCTTCTGTCTGCATTCTAATTATGTCCTCTCTAGATATTTGTTTTGGAATGTCTAATTTTTTTTCTATTTCAGGCTGTGTCTGACTGGTTTTATGTTGTTGTCTTGTTATTGCACTTATATACTCTTTGGTTAAATTTTTTGATTCAATCCAATTTAAGAATAGTTCTTGGGAATTATCTGGAATTTCTTTTATATTTCCAATTATTAACTGACATACTGGGTTGTCCATAAGTACTGCCGTTACCTTTCCTGTCAACCATGGACAGTCTATGTCCACTACTGCTTTATAACATTCAACTTTTGTGTTATTTGCTAACATGACTGTGGTTTTTTCAGATATATGGTCTTTAGGATCAATCAATTTTTTGTCAACTACTATTGTTGTACAACCTGTGTCTCTTAGACACTGAACAAGCTGGTTGTTTACATAAGAAGGAAAAAATTGTAAACTTCCTTCACTGTGACATGCGCTAGCTAAAGTTTCATGTGGTTTGGTGTTTTGTCTACTGTTAGTCTGATTGGAATTATATCTTTGATTTTTATATGGTTGTCTACTCCTATTTGCACTGTTGTATCTAATTGGACTACTGTTGGGTGATGTTCTCTGATAGTATTGTTGTGAATGTCCTAAATCTCTATGTAATTTCCTACACTCATATTTTTTGTGACCTGGAATGCCACAGTAGAAACATTTGTTGTTGTTTGAATAATTAGTATATGGTGTCTGGTAATTGTTTTGATGACTTTTCTGAAATTTATTGTTTTGCCATCTGGCAGGTAGGCTGTGGTATCTTCTGTTTTGATATGTGTTTTGTTTTTGACTGTCCCTATCACTGGGTGTGTTTCTAATAGAGGCTAGTGTGCTGTTTCTATTGTCTAGCTCTTCATTGGGGTGAGCATCTTTAAATGTTGTGATTGAGTCAACTAACTCACGCTCATTTTTAATCTTTCTCTCTTTAAGGAATGAAAATAAAGAGACTGATGCATTTCTTAATATTTTGTCTATGATAAACATATCCAGTAATGCTTTTGGATCATTTAGGTCAATTTCAGTTAATTCAAGCCATTTGACAAGATTGTCTCTAATATTGAATATGGTGGTGTTAGGATCTACTTCTCTCTCTAGTCTTATGTTATGGAAATTTTTTCTATAAATGTCTTCTGTGTTTCCATAGAACTTTAACAAAACTTTCTTTATATAGGTATAATTATTCTTTTGTTCTTCACTGAGTGAATTAATAATACTTAGGCTTTTCCCTGATAATCTGCTCAATAAAATATTAGCCCAAGTCTCTTCTCTATAATTGTAAGACTGACATATGCCTTCAAATTGTGACAGATAACTAATAATTTCTTCTTTATGTTCATTAAATTCTCTAAATTTAGGTTTGTATGTGCTATTGGTTTCTCTATTGCTTGTTGATGGTGTATGCTGTCCTGATTCTATTCTAGCTCTTTCTAGTTTTATTTCTTCCTCTCTTAATTTAAGTTCTTCAATTTCTTTTTGTCCTTTTAATTTCATTTCTTCTATTTGTTTAAGGTCGCTTCTCTCTAACAGTCTAGCTTCTCGGTCTTTGTCTTTGTCTTGTCGGTCTTTGTCTTCTTTCTGTCTGTCTCGTATTTTGTCCATTTCTCGAGTTACGAAGTCAGTTAATTTCTCCTGCTTCAAACCAAGCTTCTCACCTACTTCTAATAATTCCAAGTACTCTGCCATTTTTTATGTGTAATGTGAGTAACTAAAATTATATTGTTATGTATCAGTATATCAGTTATCTCCTTATTCTTTGGTTATCAATTAAAATAGTTTACGATATTTCATATATCTACATGTTAATGAATGTATACACAAATGCAAGTTGATACATGAATTATAAGTTATAAATAAGTGTAAGAAAAATTTAAAGTAATTAAATTGTCTACTTCACAACATAAATACAGATATGTAGACGTTTACATGAATACAAATGAGACAACAAATACAAAAGTACTGTTTAGTTTATGGACCACAAGATAGTAGAAAATATGACAGTAGGTTGACAATATGTATAACAATGACAAGACAAATAGCACAAATATGACACGATCTACTAAAAAACAACAGTTATGACAATGTACAAACTAGACTTCACAGCTAACACAAAATTATCCTACAGTGTTATAAATAGGGCCAGAAGAAACCTTTACCGTTTTAATAAAAAAACTTCCCTAGGAAAGATAACACCGTGGATGTCCCTACAGTATACTCTAAAATTAAACTTATATTATACAGAAAAAGTAAAAATTTACTTAATCTAATTAAGTATGATATAAGTAGATTTTTAAAGTCTTAAATTATATATAATACATAACACATAAATACATAAATACCAAGTGTTTAAAAGAAATCCGTAGTTGGTCACCTCTGCTCCTCTGTGACGCTATGATTTCTGTGTAATCGATAATCCTATGTAGTAGATGCTCCTTCTAGGTAGTAGATAATCCTATGTGGTAGTGTACTTGGGTAAAATAATCCAATGAGAAAAGTTACACCACAAATTGCTGCAATACTCCAATGTAAGTACCTTGCGTAATAGTGTAATTGTGATAATCCAATAATTGAAAATTGTCTAATTTCTCTCCGGTTCTGTTGCACTTGTGAGTAATTGAAGAATTACTTGAAGAATTACTTGACTTGAACTGTGCGGCTTGTATAAAGTAAAGATTATGCTGGGGAAATCTTACTTCCGCTGTCTTGATAAAACATCTCATCTGTAATGACATCAGACTTCTTTTGGTTTTGTGTGGATCATCTCTTTCGTTGACTAATAACTGTAAAATAGATTTCTTGCTGTCAACTGTCTAATCACACAGCTCTCACGCTACTGACTCTACTGCTCTGCGCTCAGCTCTCTACTATATCAGTCAACTCCTACTTCATTACCAGCAAAGCGTGGAAAACAACCGCTCTGACAAAAACATAATTTTACTCTCCAAAAACGTAGAGTTCACATTTGCAACTCAAAATACATGGTCA